AAAAAAAAAAAAAAAAAAAACGAGCAGAAAGAGAGAGAGAGAAAGAAAGAGAGAGAGAGAAAAGAACAAAAAAAAGAGAAGAAACGAAACGACGAAGGAAAATAAGAGGGAACGATAAACGAGAAAGGAAAAGAAAATAAGAAAGAGAGAGAGAGAAAAGAAAAAAAAACGAGAACAAAGAACACGTCGAACGGTGACGTCCACACTGCAGTCTAGTCACTCTAGTCGATTATACTTAATACATTATGATATTATATTATTATATATTATATATTATATTATATTATATTATTATATATATAGTATATATTTACTATAGCGCGTACGGTTCTAGTCGCGAGCTCGTTACGGAGACACACTATTTATTGATACTTAGCTGCCTAAATGAGATAAAGAAAAATGAAATTCTTCGAGGATTAAAAAATACAATAATACACGTATATATATATATATACAAATTTAATATATATATATATATATATATATACAAATCACGGGGGATACCCATACACACACACACATATACGTACACATACACACATCATTGATTGATGATCAAGGACGATAAATTTCGACGCGATAGCGAGATTTCCGGCCGGTTTTCGATTCTTCTTCTATCTTCACCCCCCGCGAAATCATGTAATCGGCGTCCTGACGTCGATCAAGCAACTTTTTCAGAATGTATATCCAAAGTGTAAGATTCGTTGTCCATTGAAACGCACAGTCGTGACCGGACGACTTCTTCGATCGACCCCCCCTCCATGTTCCTTTTTCGATGGCTCCTTCGACCCGGTTGGACCATCATTACACACTCGATCAATAGAGGTGTCGATCCTCGAACGGACGATCGATACTCTCTATGGAAGCGGCGGTACAGGCCTGTACGTTTCGTTCGACGATGAGGAAACGTGTGATCCGTTCGTGTAACGTATTCTAATTTTGATTAATCGAATTCTTGGCGCTCGTTCGATGGCCATTTTTTTAATGATGCTGGTGGGCGAGGATACATTATATTAAATTGATTTATCTTTTAGGGAAACTTTTAATCGTTCAGATCATACTTTTATTTTTATGGAAATAATTTGAAGATATTATGATACAGTTTAAGATATGAGATTAAAATTTTAAACGAATTAAATACGTGTTTTCTGACAAAATTGGATATCACATCGTTGAGTATATTTTGCACATTTGTAAATCTTTCATTTACATTTCGTAAAAAAGTTCAAATATCCGTAAGAAATAAATAATTGATAATCCAATATTATATAGATCTCTAGATTACGTGTCCTCGCCCGCCATCATTATTTCATCAACTCGACACATTTTATGTCGTGTAAAATTTTTTCACTCTGGTGAATGGTGATATTCTCACCTTTTCAAATATTTAATCCCATCAAATTGCCTCGTTATTTTTACCTCGCACGGGAGAGCGCAAACGTTCTCGTAAATGATAAAGAAGAAAGGGGGGAAAAAAAAAGAAAAAAGAAAAAAAGTCATCGACAGTCATGCGTGGCATAAAACGTGTTAACGACACGTGGACATCGATCGAATCGCCTCGAGGCCGTCGCAATATTTTCTCAGCCATCGTTACACGATCGGTTATACATATGTATATGCAAGCATCGAACATCGAAACAAGATAAAATTTTCATCGCGTTCACACGCGTATACACTTACACCCTCGATCGAAAGTTTCAGAACATTTGGCTCGAAAATTTGGAAGAAAATTAAGTAACTTTTGAAAAGAAAAGAAACAATTTTAAAATTTACAACAAAAGATTCGCGTGTTTCTATATGAAAAATGTTTCAAAGACTTTTGAACGAGAGCTACATACCACACGAGTATATACATAAGAATACGTAGAGGAGAGACAAATACAACACAAACACGACAAGGAACGCGTTACACGTAATATTTAGAGCAGATTCGAGTAATAGATGCGTAACATTGTTATACACATATTTTATAGAAGCAATATAACGAGTAAGAAAAAAAAAAAAAAAAAAAGTAATAATGACGACGCGTACGGTCAAAAGCAATGTTTCGACACAACGAATTATATAATTATACATATAGAGGCGAACATCGAAGTTTAACGTGATGGAATAACGATGATTTGCTTCGGCATAAAATTTTTTCGATCGTCTCACCCTTACCACGCTCTTCCGTCTTTCGCGATATCCGTTCAAATATTGGCGCCAAAAATTCTGGCCGGATTTCGCAATTCGAGAAAATTCATTGTTCCTCCCTTATTTAAAATAGAAGCAATATTTTTTCTATCAAGGGACAACATGTTTTAGAATTGTATTTAACGCGAGAAAGATATTAAGTTCTCTGAATATTTGTCGATTTCTTGAAACAAACGAAACGGCTATAAAATTTTTAATTTTTTACAATAAAATAATCTGCATATCATTTGCATAAATGGCAAAATGGCAATGAATCATTTCGTTTATCAAAAATAAATGTTACTTATTAGAATAATAAATATCAAAATTAATGAATATTTGTATAAAATAAAATTAGAAAAGTTGCAAATCGTTTGCATAATATTGTACGATAAACAGTAATAGTGTTAAAAAATTTTTCACACATGAGTTTCTTAACTAAAAAAAAAAAAAAGAAAAAAAAATCGACGCAAATTTTCTAGACAATTCGACAAATCGAATATTGAAATAGTGGCTTCGTGGTTTGCCTTTATTAGCTTCTAATATTTTTCAAACGAATACATCGTGTAATTTAAGCTTCGTGCAACGAATGGAACACCAATTCTAGTCTTAAAATCTTCTTTCTTAAATATCGTATATTTTATATAACGAACAACGACCTCTTTGCTCCGAAAGATAAGATATAGAATTAGTATTATAAATCGTATAAAATTTTGATTCTATAAGCAACGCAACGACGACGATTATACATCGAAATTCGTAAATATTTTATCGTAAATTTAAATTCTTTCGAAAAAAAAAAAAAAAAAAAAAAGAAAGATATTTCGAGACAACGAAAAGGGAGTAACAACGAAATCCGGTTGAAAAAAAAAAAATTCTCCGCCTCATTCGACCAACTTTTCCTTCAAAAAGCAACGATTACAACGCGCCGAATTATTGTCGAGAGAATAACGAGAGAAAAAAAAAAAAACACGAAAGAAAGAAATAGAAAAGCACGGTTTGGAAGAAAAAG